CTAAGAGAGCCTTGAAATTTCACATTTAAGAACATGAGGCATATGTTAGAAAAAAGAAAACACAGAAGTCGTCTGTTGCCCAGCATTGTTGGTTCTAAAATCACACTTTCCATTTTTCTGCAGCCAAAATTATTCAACAAACATCTTCCATTGATGAATTAGATTTTCTAGAAATGTTTCACATTAAAAAAATCTTTGTGTTCTATTTAACGACCCTATTTCCAATCCACCTTTACATTCAGTCTTTAAGGAAATTATGTTTTAATTTTCTTGTTTTAATAGTAGATGGCACCAGTAGCTTAACTCATGACGAGCCATTCTAATGTTATCTTTTCAGTCTATATCTTGTTCATTCACACTTGCTGCTGAGGCTGAGGGTTTTGGTTCAGTAAAACCATCAAAACTAGTCTTGTGAAAATGTGCAACACTGACTTTTGTTGTTTGACTGAATGTGTAGTGTTTTTGGAATTAAATATCTTTGACTCTTTCATAAGTAAATTTCTTATCATTAAATTAAAATGGTATTTTAGACTTAGATTTGTCCAAAAGTTTAATCTTTTAACTGATCAATGAATTATATTCTTAAAGTAGTGTAAAACTCCATTTTGAATGTGAAGTTGTTTTTTATGTATTTCATTTTAGGAAATAAAACAACCTTTCTTTGAATTAAGATGTTCTCTGTTATTTACAAAATTCGTATTGTTGTGGGCTTAAAAGAAATCTCTTTAATAGCAATTCCAGATGAAGACTTTATTCAAATAAAAGAGCTCACAGTAAAGTAAAAAGTAAACAACAGAAATAAGGCAAATTTTATTAATTGTAGGTCATCCGTATCACCTGTAGAATGAATCTCAAAATAGCATTAAAAAATTAAAACAAAGAAAAGCCCAGTATAATTCATGTGTAAGAGCCCAATATAATTCTGAATCAACTTCAGAATATCTATATTTTTAAAATTGTCCATTACTTCTTGAATTTCAAGGAAAATCATTTAGAACGTAAAAAAATATTTTTATGATACAGTCAAATACCGAAAATCCGCTGGCCTGAAATCCGCCAACTCCTGAAATCCACGTTGCCTCTCAAAATATAAACATTCAGTAACCCAAAATGAGTACGAAATAGCGAAAGAAAAAATACATGAATAAGACGCCATAATACGATATATGAGTCAAACAGACTACAATTTGAACATTTTTTGCTCTATAACCTGCTCGAGGTAAAAAAGCAGACTTCACCAAATTTCTTCAAGTTCACGATTCCTGTTGTATTTATAGCTGTTATTTCAGAGATTATTGGCGCCTTCTTTTTTATCTGGAATTTTGGGATAAAATGAAGAATATTTAAATTTCAGTCTTTTAATACAATACAGATAAGAAACGCACTCTGATTTACTGTGCAACGTGAAAACGTAGTTCAGTGACCGTAATGCAAAAGTGCAAATTTGCAAAAAGATGGAGAGGTATCTTCGTTTATAACAGATCGTATGGAATTGCAGCACGATGTGTAGATATACGGAAAATAAAGAAAAACGTGAAATTTACAGCAACAGTGATTTAACACCAAATCGAAACCAGAAATCTTTGCATGAGGCGAAACGACAAACTCAGGCTGGTAACATATAAAATACAATGAATAGATAATCAATTTATATGTAAAATAATTTAACACATATAATAGTATTGCAATAATGTATATAATAATTTAATTAAATGTATCTAATACACCTTATTTATTTCGCACTTTTAGTCTGAATATTATGATTTATCTTTTCTGTCCTGAAATCCGCACAACCTCTGGTCCCAAGCTCTGAAGATTTCTGGACTTCTACTGTATTTTCAAAAAATATTGCAAATTTGGCTAAAATAATCAAATGTCACCCAGGCCTTTAACAAAGTTGTATCTAATATGGCTTCTGACTTTCATAATTCATATGCTGATAAATTCAGTATTACAAGATCTACAGCCTATTTCACATAACCACTTAGAAACATAATACATACCCACACCCACAGATTCAGTTTTAAAATAAATGCATGCTAAACCTATTATATTAAAATTGCTGCAACGCACAAAAGTAAATATACAAAAACCAGGATGCTATCAAATGAACAAATGTAATTTTGGTTTTTATAATCCTGATGGTGTCTTTGAAGCTTTTGTAAGCATCAGAAAACTTGGGAGAAAATATGCTTTTTCCTAAAACTAATGTTTCTGGGATTTTTTTTTTTTTAAATCCAGATATCATAGGAATTCCCCTGTCTCTCTTAATATGTACATTAATGTTGCTGTAGCATCTGGTGATCTTTTCTTCCAAAATGGCCATATAACTGAAAAAGTAGGAGTGTCTTGCATAACTAAAAAAATAATTAATTACAATAACACCTAAAAATAAAATTTGTTCAAAAATCTTGATTTTTCCCAAAACAGAGGTGAATTGTCAAAATAAGAGTTATTATGATAAAGGAAAAAACTTTTTATTTATAAATATTTATGCTTTTTAATATCTTCATATTTTTTAAACTTTTTTTGCCTTCATAAGTTGTTTTCTGTTATTTATTTACGAAAGTCAATTTACAAATTAACCGTAGGAATTCTGTTCTTCAATGCTACTTGTGTAATTCCTCAAAGCTTCAGTTTTTATTAAAAGTTACTAAAGTTACTTTATTTTCCTCTCCTTTCTGCCTCCTCTTCTCTTAACTGCAACTTTTCCCGATTTCCTTCTGCCATGTGGTTTCCTCTTCCGAGGTTCGGGCCCGTCCTGAAAAACTGGAACAGCCTTGTCCCTAGTTCTTCAAGTGGCGTGAAAACTGCCCACGTGTTTGCCGTGTTGAAAGTAGTACGTCGGTGACTGTGCCCAAAGGAAAACAGGATGTCCAACGGAACAAACATAGACATGGTATCAAAGAGAAAAATAAGCAAAAACTCAGGACCCCCCAGTCAAAGTTTCAATGCAAGCATGAGTTCAGGACGCCTAGACGACTCAGACGAAATGAACGTTGAAGAAGGATTATCCCTTCCGAAACATTTTTTGCCTTGGAATTCAAAACACCAACACTGCCAAAACAAGCATCCATAATGGGTACATTCAATTCGTGGAATTGCCGGGGTTTTCGTCAAAACCTGGATAACATCAAGGATTTAATAAACATGCATCAACCTGCTTGCCTTGCGCTTCAGGAGACCTTGTTAAAACCAAGCAGACATGCTAAGATACAGAGATATACCACAGTAAGAAAGGACAACCCATCTGGGGATCGTGCCCTTGGTGGTGTGTGCCTTATCGCCTCCCACAATCACCCATACACTGCTCTCCCTTTGACGACCTCCCTTCAAGCTGTGGTGGTTCAGATTAATTTACACTTTTCAATCTCTGTATGCACCATTTATTTACCCCCACATGAATGAGCATGTTGATCAGCGAGAGTTGGACAGAATAATAGAGTAGCTCCCAGAACCTTTTTTTGCTTTTAGGTGACTTCAGTGCCCATAGTACCTCATGGGGAAGTAGGGACACTAATTCAAGGGGCCGGCAGATCGAACAATAAATGAAAGATAATTCTATTTGTCTCCTTAATAATGGAGAAAATTATGTCCCTTTTACAGACACATGGAATTACATCAGAACAAAGATCTTGTTTAGGTGGCAAGAATTCTGGGATGCCAAACTCTGAACAAATTAAAGCAGGTAAAACCCAATTTGGAGTATTGGGAGTCGAGAGAGAATTGGAAGGAGGATGTACTACGACTCGCCTACGAATGGTCATTGGGACTGACACATCGGTCTCTCTTGAAAGGAGATAATGAGCCATTTGGGCACTGCAAACATTCCCGTTCAGTCAATCCCATTTTAACCTGTGTCCTGCTTTTAGTCAGAAATGTGAATTTTATTTTTCTACTCTACGAATGTTAACAGATCTCATTGGAAGAAACCCTCACATTAACCTCGTAAGATTTTTAAAAGACCATATGATTTGAATTACATTTTATCCTGCTCTACCTGTTAGTCATTTCTCCATGCTTTCATCTCATTGGGAAAAAACCCCGCATCAACCTCATAAGATTTTTAAAAGACATCCCTTTTTACCATATGATTTGAAGTTATTTCCCTTTTATCCTGATCTACCTGTTGCTAGAGTGCCTGGACATTTCCAAGTCATTTCTCCATGCCTTCATCAGCATTTCAGGTTCATTTCATCAATTCACTTGATACGGTGTGTTTGTGCATCTTGAACTGTATTCACCATTTGTCTGGCGCATAATAACCCTCGAGGTTTTGTGCCATTAAAAAATCAACCAACCAAGCAACCATAAAAAACCTTTTGTGGCCTTAATTTTCGAAAGCATTTGGTCATGTACCCCTTGAATAAAAAAAAGGGGGGACAGTTCAGAATCTCCCATTCTACTGGGCCGATTGATGAAATTTAACTTGCCTTTTTCATGTCTCGAAAGTGTGGCTTAGGATAGATATTAGATTTGCATATAGCCTTGCCATAACATAGACACAAAAACTGACTCTTTTCCCTCCAAAAGACATATTCAATTTAATCATTTTATGAATAATATCTATATCAGAGGGAAATGAGTTTTTTGAAGGAAGGGTAAGAATCATGAACTTTATGCTAATATTCCTGCTGTAAAATCAACGTATGGTAAAACTGAAAGAGAATGAAAGACAAATGTAATAATTGTAATTAACACTTAATATGTTTCTTCCTTAAACAATTAGAATTATTTTCTTTTGATAGCTGTAGCAATGGTAATCTCTCTTGGTTTTTGATGTATTAATGAATTTTTACTTTTCTTATACAATCCATTTTTTTTTTATTGGATCAGATATAGTGACACAAACTGTCAGTACCATGAAGTTTAGTGTGTGAGCTATTCAATAGCTGGGAAGCCATTCCAAAATGATGTAATATTAATATAAGTATTTAAAGAAATTTTGTGTGTAGAATGTATGTATATTTAATTATTTTATCAAAGTATATTTATTTAAGAATTTTTCTTTCTTTAGTTGATATTTCCTTATCTAAAGCTTGAATGCTTATATTATGACCTTGGACTACCATATAGAGACCAAACAAATGACCAAGTAACATTAGATGCTGCTATGGCTATTAAGAAACACAGTGTCGGTATTAAATGTGCTACAATCACTCCAGATGAAGCTCGAGTTAAAGGTAACACTGTTTCTGTTGTTTATTCTTTAACTTTGGTTGCTATTCACAAATTTCACAATTATCATTAGTTTTATTCTCTTTAAATTGAAACCATTTATTTTAATCAGTATAAAATTTGAAGACGCGTCCTGAATTTTATTTGTGATTATAGGCACATTTAAAGTTAATGATATTCTTTTCATGAAGTTTTGGTCTTGTTGAATTCTGCAGTTTACATATAATGCCTATGTAGTGTCTGTAATGTATTTCAACTTTCTTACAATTTAAGAATACATAAATAATAACCATAAACAATATCGGTTTTCACTTTCTGTTTATCAAATTTCGCTAGTTTGAAGTACCTAAAGTATTTATTGTATCAACATACTATTTTTTATTGTAAATTATATCATTTGTTTTTCTTACAGAGTTTAATTTAAAGAAAATGTGGCCAAGTCCAAATGGAACTGTAAGAAACATTTTGGGTGGCACAGTATTTCGTGAGCCAATAATCTGTAAGTCTATACCTCGACTAGTGCCTGGTTGGTCCAAGCCAATTGTAATTGGAAGGCATGCTCATGGAGATCAAGTTAGTAACCTTTTTCATGTTTATATTTTTAAAAATATGTTTTAATTTCCAGTAAATTGATTGCTCAGTAATTACTTAGTTCATTTTTAATTTCTAGAATAAAATAAATATATTCAGTAGTAACCACATTTTTCCTCTTTAAATTTAAAACAGAAAGACTAAAACTGATACCTCCAAAATTTATGTTACGTAGTCTGCATTTTTGATGTTATAAGACAACATGTGCCACAAATGGTTGTTTGTAGAAAGATTTAAACAAACCTGTAGCCAAATGTAAAATTGCTCAATGCTAGGCAGTTCAGCCCAAGATCAAATCTTGGGCTTGCTAGATGGGTTGGATTAGGTTAGGTTAATTGAATATGGCAGTTGTCTTGTATTCATATTAGACACGAGGAAAACAAAACCATCCCTACATGAATGTGTGTAACATGAATACGAACCAGTTTTCCTTCCTCGGCAATTCCAGTAAGAAACAAACATTTGTCATCAGTTTATTTATGATCTGGTTTTCATAAACACAAAATGTTTCATGGGTTACTTCTTTCTCATAAGCTCTACAGCCTGTTACAGGCCAAGGCTGTCTTTCCAAGTTTCCTCCACCTGACCCCATTTGGCACAATAGCCCTCCATCGAACCTTAAATTCTCTTCGACATCATCTGTCCATCTAGTGGGTGCTCTTCGTCTTATCCCCTCAATTCTCAAAAAGGCTATTTTTTTGGTTGGAAATGCATCATCATATCTAAACACATGGCCCAGCTATCTAATACGAGATGCCTTTACGATTCTCACAATATCAGTTTTATCATGTTTCCTATATTTTCCATGTAGGTTATGATTATAGAGAATCCTCCATATGTCATTTTGTTGTACCCCGGTCCAAAGATCACTCTTTGGATTGTTCTTTCAAAATTTGATATCAGGTACTTCTTTGCTCTGTTAACTATCCAACATTCACTTCCGTAAAGGGCATCAGGCCTTATTAAAGTTTTATATAAATTTAGTTATGTTGATTAGTTTATATAACTGTTTATCTTCAGATAATTTTGGCCAAAACATTTCTTAATGTAGCCCAGCAAAATGAGAGTATATGTCTGGAAGTGATGTTTTCATGTTTTTTTGTATAGGTGTTGAAGGTATAACAAAATTATCAACAGTTTTATTAGATGCAATCGTAAATTTAGTTTTGTCTTCATTAATGATTAGGCTGATCTTCCTTGCTGCATTTTCAAGGGAGACAAATGCCTAGACCACAGCTCTGTGCACTAGTTTTACCTTGTATTTTGTCTTTTATAATTTCTCTTCTGTCTCTTTTTTCATGTTATTCCTAAGACATAACTAACAGTTCCTTTTTTATCCACTTCAAGATTTCAATCTTCTGCTTTTTAAACTTTTTAGTATGACTATAACTGCTTTTAGAAGGCTGAAAGTTACTTCTTATGTGAATTTCAACTTCCCCAACAGTATAATTTGTAAAATATCATTATCATTATTTAAAACATTGCCATTCCTTTCTTCTTCGTCACTAGTTTCTGCAATTTTGGGGGGAACAACAACAATATCAGTTTCATTCTGGTCATTATTAACATTATCATCATCTGTTTCTTCACCAAAAAATCTTTGAAGGATGTAAGATACCTCGTTCTAGGCATTTTTAAACAACCAGAACATCGAAAGGAATGAGTGAAAAAGGAGATTGACTACCCGTTTCATGCTGACGTTGTGTCAGCGCAACACCTGTTTTCCCTTGCTTCCCAACACAAATATAAACATCTGACTGATGTAATGTTCTGATAAACGGTGACCTTGACTAAAAATAAATCACTCATAAAGACGGCGATTCTTTTGTAAAATATTTTCAGCAAAAATATCGGTCGAAAATTTTGCTTAAAGTATGAGATTAATCATTATAAACAAAATGATTGCTGAAGGCAAATATTTTTTTACAGAAATAATCTTCATAATATTCCCTACACGAAATCATCTGCTGGTATAAAATGTCTTAGGTAGTTACATTTATATACGCATTTATTTTGACCACCAGCGGCTAATGGGTTAATCCTTTTATAGTATAAAAAGGTTCTGAAAGATATGTTGAAATTTTTATTTTACATATCACTTTTTAAAATCATCCTTGTGAGGATATTAAATTCCTTCTTCGGGATATTAAATTCCAGCATTGCTTCAAGTAGTTTTTCTCTGTTAATACCGTCATAGGCAGCTTTATTCATGGGTTACTTATTCCAATAAAAAAGAATGAATCATAATGGACACACTATAAAACTTTTCATTGACAGTACATTTAATTAAACTGTGGGTAATAGACAGCATTGGTGCATATATCTTGCAATAGAAAATTGTTTGACTTGTCATTTAATAATAAAAGATTTCATAGATCTTACCATAACTGAAAAACAGCTTTTGATTTGCTCAAGACTGGTTTAATTTTTGATGCATTTGAAACTAATGAAAAAGAATAATTTCAGCCAAAACATTTCTTAATGTAGCCCAGCGAAATGAGAGCATATATCTGGAAGTGAGATATATGTTCACATTCATGCATTTTCATGTTTTTTGTATAGGTATTGAAGGTATAACAAAATTATAGCTCCTCATAAAATTTTCAAAACTAAGTTATCAGTAGAGTTTGTTTCATTTACTGGTATTTCTAAATATTACTTTTTTCAAAGTAAAATATGTATGAATTGTGTGGTGTTTTAAATTGTAATTTAAAAATACTTCATGATTTTTTCAGTACAAGTGCACAGATCTTGTAATAGAAAAACCTGGCAGAGTTGAAATTTTATATACACCCCATGATGGAAGTGGCGCAAAGAAAGTTGAGGTCTTTAATTTTCAAGAATCCGGAGGAGTGACAATGGGAATGTATAATACAGATGATGTAAGTTGTATGTTATGTGTTATGTTACAATTAGTGTACAGATAGAAACATTAAGGTATTTTAAATTCTAAAAAAATTTGTTTAGTTTTATATGTATTTTAAAGATGATTTTATATTTTATTCTGTGCAGTCAATCAAAGGATTTGCTAAAAGCTGTTTTGAATATGCTACCATGAAGAAATGGCCCTTGTACCTGAGCACAAAAAATACTATTCTCAAAAGTTATGATGGCAGATTTAAAGATATTTTCCAAGAAATATATGACAGGTATCTTTGTTATGTTGTATTATCTAACTTACTGTTCTGATATTATTAATGTATGAATAGCTTTGAAATGAATGAAACTGTAAATGAATTTTATTTAATGATATGGAATTTTAGGGATTACAAGAGTAAATTCGAGAGCCTTGGAATCTGGTATGAACATAGGCTAATTGATGATATGGTTGCTCAAGCTTTGAAATCATCAGGTGGTTTTGTTTGGGCCTGTAAAAATTATGATGGTGATGTGCAGTCGGATGTCGTTGCTCAAGGTTAGTAAACAATGCATACATTATGAGATATGAATTATACATTTATTGGAGTAAATTTTAAGAACCATGTTTTCATAAATAATTTATAATATAGTGTCCTCCATTTAATAAACTCAGTTGCTTGTTGTGTTAGCATTTCCAGAAACCAAAATGAATATATACCAATCAATAGAAAAATTGCAATTAAACTCATCTCTGCCGCTTAATAAAACTCGAACTGGTAAAGTCTGATCCGGGGGGGGGGGACTGAGGCTGATAAAAGATGTGGCGAAAGCTTAACATGTTTCACTGCAGCTGGTTCATTAAATAATTCACACAACACATTAAGTGTGCTTCTCTCACTTTTATTTAATTAAACTAACTCTAGATGCAAAATAAAGGAGTCATTGTGCCATGGCTTTCACAAACACAGTATTCTATCAACCACTAATCTTATCATAGATCAATTATTTAACTTCTTGTGGAAGCGGACTCATAATTCAGCTATGAAATATTATACGCTGCTCGCAATATTCACATGAGCAGAAGTTAGGGCCAGCGTAATTAGAACCAAGACCAAGTGTAATTAGATTGGATTAGTTCCTGTCAGACACTGTTTGAAAATTTTTGTCCAGAGTGGAGATGGGAGAGACAGAATATTGTTATGATTAATAAAAGAGTTTTCCTAGAGGCATTGGAAACAAGTTTTGATTATAAATTAATGAATGTTTCCCAGGATTAAAGAGTAGGTTCTAAAGTGAACATTGATTCCCTTTCTTGAATATTTAGCTGAGATCGGATGGATGTGCCTAACACACATTAAGTTTGCAAGGTATTCTCTGAAAATATTATGAAATGCATACATTATGTATCTTTGATTGGAAAAGGATAGTAGCTGTTGTAGGCTGAAGGAAAAAGAAAAGAAAGCATTGATTATGTCTATAATAACCACGAAGTGACAGGTCAACTTGACAGAACAAAAGTGCAATCTTCCTGCTGGAATTTTGTATTTGATTAAATCACTGGAACAGACATTTTTTATTTGTTGTGCACGTGACTCTTAACATGACTTGGAAATCCCTAAATGAAATGAATTAAGCCTGAAACAAAACAAAACAAACAAACAAAAACAAAAAAAAAAGAAAAGAAAAGAAAGAAAGAAAGAAAAGGATAAATAACTGAAACATTGATACATTTGGTCAAGGAAGCCAAAGAGAAGAAACTTTGCATGGGATTTTTCAAACAGCATTAATGCAGTTTACTTAAAAAAAGAAATAAAATTGATGACAAAGTAGGTGACAGGAGGATGTAGAATTTGCTAAAATACTAGGAGAAAATTTTGTTCCAACTGATGGACGCCTGCAAATGGAAAGAGAGAAATAACACTTTTTTGGAAAAGAATCAAGGGGCAGACCATTATTCGGCTGATAAATGAATAAAAGACGTTTTACATGGGTTTCCAAAAGAATGCAAGCCGCATCAAATTTATAATGCAGATGAAACTGGTCTGTTTTACAAAGCATTATTGGAGTACTCATTAATGTTCAAATGTAAAACGGTAAGCTGGTTTTAAAAAATTTAAAGAAAAGCTACTCTGCTATCAATGTGCAATATGGGTGTAACAATTAAAAAGACTTGAAGTGGTTATTGAAAAGAGTGGAAAGCATCAATGCTTAAAAGGAGTCAAGAATTTGCCTTTAACTTGACATTATAACAAGAACTCATGAATGACAAGCATCATTTTTACTGATTTCCTTTTTCAAATGGGACAGAGAATTGAAAAACAAAACAAAATAAAAAAAAAGCTTTACTGTTGTGTAACTGTGCTGGACATCCCTCTGATATCGGTCTGAAAAACATTATAAAATAGTGTTTCTTTCTGCAAATACTGTAATTTCTGGAAGAAAGGCCGCATCAGCGTAAACGCCGCACTCGAGAAAAATGGCGGGAAAGAAATTAAAATTACACAGAAACGCGGCAATAGATTAAATTGCTCGTGACATTGTCGTGGGCCGTACAGATGCAAAAAGTCAACCTAAGTCCTGATATATGACATACCAGTTAAGAAAAATGCATGAAATGAAACCATAACTCAAAAATAAATTAAAGGTAAGAAATGTATAGCTTCTGTGCCGTTTAGAGACATTTTCAAAAATTTTCCGCTCCCTAATTAAAAACTATCCAACAAGTACTTGTAGCCTAACTGATGGGATCTGTATTTGGCAGAATGCCAAGAAAAATCCATTCATGCTGAAGGGGAAATACATCAGAGTTCGTTATTGTGAGGCAGGTGGAGTCGTGTCCGCCTTTGAAAACAATTGCAGAAAAGGCAGGGGTGGAAAGAGGATGGGTCCTGGAAGATTCATCGAATGGCAGAGGAAAGAGACTATTCAAACTGATGAGAATGTTATTGTTCTGAGATCTCGTTTAGGGTGAATAAGGCATGTAGGTCCGTTCAAGGGAAAGAACGTAAACAAAATAACGTTCGCAAAAAGCAACTGAGTGATCTTTTGTGTGGGAACAGCACCAATCTATGCACAATGACAAGGCCATCCAAACTATGTACAATGATCATCATAGGAAATATTTTATTTTTAGTGCACCTAAATGCCACATGGGTAGAAACGCCGCCCCCACTGAAAATTTAAGTTTTAAACACGTAAATGCCGCAGCGTTTCTTCCGGAAATTATGGTACTACTTTTATCATTCAGCCATTAGACAAGTATTATAAAAGCTTTCAAATGTAATTACAGAAAAGGTGTCATTAAAAAAATTAATAAAATAAAATTGAACCTTGTGAAAATAAATGAGGTAATTAAGACTATCTTTGCTAGAGGCTATGCATATTATAGTCCACTCATGGAAAGCAGTCACAGTTAGAAATTGCTTTAGAAAATGTGGTTTTTATTTAGAAGAAGCCACTGAGCATCTGCAAACTATTCCTAATATTTCAGACATCAGTTAGGAAAATTACGAAGATTTATTTTTAGAATATATTGCAAGACAGCACATGAAAAACCAGATAACCATGTTATAGAAAATGTTAAAAAGACCTTTCAGAAACTGACAGTGAAAGTGACTACATGCCAACCTCAGCTGATTCGAGAAAAGCACTGCAAACTCCAAGAAGAACTGTTGAATTAAAAGTGGAGATAGAAAAGTTACCAACAGTTTTACAAACTTGAAAATGCAGTTCAGAGACTCTCGATGAACAATGCGAAACAATAGGATTAGAACAGTTCTTTATAAAAGTTTAAAGTTCTATTAGGTACATAGTTATGAATTTTTTTATAAACTAAATTAATAAATAATAAATTCCAAGTTTCATTAATAATTTAATTTTAGCATTAATTTGTAACTAATAATTTAGGTATTCATATTTAGATTAATTTTTAATTACTGTCTTACTAAACAGATTAAACTCATCAGCTTAAATATGCTTGGAATGAAAGTGATATTAATATTAATAAGTGGCGGGACTGTATAAAAAATTTTTTTTACAAACTTTTTTCTAAATGTCATGGTGGTTACAAAATTTACCAAATATCAAAAGCCACTTTTAATTTTTTAATTTTCATTATTTTCAAAATGCAAGTACCTTGGCCATTGATGATTCATTATGGGCATTCATGCATGCTTTTTTTTATGTGGGGGGATATTTCTTTTATGGGAAGTGAAACATTAGATTTTCTCAACTTCATTTAAAAATTAAATTATCTCTAAATACAGATTCATGTTTTTCATTCATAATAGATGTTTGCCTAATGTAAAATACTCCCACCAGCGGCTGAGCGGTAAAGTCGCTGAACACTGGTAGTTCGGTCCGAGGTTCGAATCCCGCGAACGGGCTGGCTGCATGGGTGTTTTCGTGGTTTTCCCCATGTGTAACGTGTATACGAGCCAGTTTCCCTTAGAAAGTCCTCCACGAAAGGCATCCCTCCTCTTAGGCAGATAGCCCTTGTGTGCTTTGCCATAATTAAATATACCACACCTAATGTAAAATACATTTTTTTTATAGTTTAGACTCTTGTGAAATAGTATACTGCAAGATTAATCCTTGTATGACTAGACCTTAAATTTATCTCTTTATAGCCAGTGTATATGGATAGACATAACAAAAGTTATGTTCTTGTATAGTTTGCATGATGAGATGCTTACTTCCTATAAATAGCCCTGGAGCTCAGTACATTTTTATGGAGTTGGTGCTCAGTACATTTTTATCAACAGCACGGTTACAGCCGAAAACATCGCAAATAAATAAAGTGGTAAAAAATAAAGTATCTACAAATCATCGCATGACGATAACATCGCAGACATTCTTTTTTCAGGCATGCTTTAATAAGTGTAAATGGATATTCCCGTAATGATTTGTGAGCGCAAGATGGAAAGAAGGATAATTTTTACTTTCAGACTTTTTATTAATTAATAAATTTTTGCTGAGAAAATAAAAAGGAAACTTAAGCATAAAAAATTAATGCAACTTATAGCACTTAATAGAGTTTTAAACCGACATAGTTAACTAACAAAGGCCATTAATAAATCATTTTTGTAAAGTTTTTACTGGTAATATTTCATGAAAAGTATAATCTATAAGTTAAATTTAATTTTCTATGCTTAAGTTTCCTTCTTACGTTTTCAGCAAAAATTTATTAGTTAATAAAATATGTGAAAGTAAAATTTATCCTTCTTTACACCTTGCGCTCACAAATCATTATGGGAATATCCATTTACAATTATTAAAGCCTGAAAAAAGCAGGTCTGCGATGTTATCGTCCTGCGATGATTTGTTGATACATTATTTTTTATCGCGATATTTCGACGACGATGTTTTTAACCTGCGATGTTTTTTAACCGCTTTATTTTCTACGACGATGTTTTGTACCACGATGTTTTAGAACTGCGATGTTTTCTCCCACGATGTTTTGTAGCACGACGTTTTCACCTTGCGTTGTTTTCTCCGCGACGTTTTCGTCCATGATGTTTTTGCCGTGATGTTATCGGCGGACACCGAACAGCACAGACCTTAGGTCTATGATTTTCTTGAAACAAAGAATATTCACCAGATTAGGTCTGTATCTTAGCAACTTTATGAATGACATTAGGCTTTGTCTCGCAAATTGAATTGCCCATATTAACATGCCCTTTTAGTGTTTTTTTTTGGGGGGGGAGAGCTGGATCTACTAAATTGTGTTTAATTTTCCCCCCCAAATCTCCATGCTACAGGAATATAAAATTTTGCTTTTGCTTTGGATTGCTAAATTGATCCGTGCTATAGGAAGTATGTTTGCTGCCACAGAAAGGGACTTTTTTTTATTTGCCGTACACCACTCGAGCAATGTATATTCCTATACCAGTCCACTGATTTTCCCGACTGTTTTACATTTTTTACTTTGCAGTCTTTCTAGTAGATGTCTCTAGTAGTGTAGGAAAGATTGAATTGTAAAATCAGTTCTAGGATAGGTTGTACCGCATTTCATTAGGCGAAGAAATTCAACGAGTTTTTTTGCATATGTTCAGCGTATTAACTTTTGCAAATAGTATTTCTTTGGAATTTTGTCTTGAAATAAATGACAATTCTTGAAATAAAATCTCCAATGTCTTGAAATAAAAGAATGATGGATGACAGTAAATGGCTCATAACAAATTAATGATTCTGGTAGCCCTGAAAGTTCTTTATCAGAATTCTCCAGATGATTGATGATGAGGAAACGGAAAAGTACAAATGATCTAACTCAGGTTCGGAACTTTTGTGAAATGGACACTAGTACTCCTCCTCCACCATCATGATTTCCTTTCACAGCAAATTCACTTATTTCACATTTATCTCCTGTAATGTGTTCTTTCTAGTTTTGCAGTTTCGTCAGAAAAAAAAAAAAGCCAACTTTAAGTAAAAATGTCTTAATTTTGCCGTAAATAAAAATCATCTTAAATGAATAAATACAATGCTTGTAACCGTTTTGACTGCCGATTTGAATTCATACAATCAATTAGAATGCAGAATTGTTTATGTAAAAAAGATGCTTATTTTTGGTCACAATATGGCAGGAAAATGAAGCAGTTAAGTGGTTAATGAGCATAATTTGTTTCCAATTCTTACTTGTAATGCAAAATATTCATTAAGCAAACTAATGTTTTTCATAGAAATTGATGTAAAATAGGATAATGTGTTCCATTTCAAACAAAATACTGAAACGAATTTGTAATAATTTATTATTAATTATAGATCCTTTTTCACAGGAAAGTTGTCTAAAGACATTTGTTTTTGCCTACGCTTGAGAATTTAATGAAAATGAGACACAGCATTATTGTTGAATAATTTGTAACACGTATAACTACTGTTTTATTACGGTGATGTAAGAATTTCCCATGCTTCCACCATCTCTCTTATTTCACTTTGAAGGTTGAGGCTGTTACCTCTTCCCTTAAAGAAATCTTCCCCACAACTTAACTTCAGATTCATAAACTCTTCAATGGTCAACTCTTGGCTGTACTTTCTACTAGCTCATCAGTGTCATTATTATTCATCTCTGGGCCCATAATTTTGGTTAGAAACACAATCTCATCGATTACAGGCTCCACAGGCACTTACTGAAACCCTTTGAAGTATGTTCGACAATTCATTGCAAAAATAAGGGTTCTCTCACCCCTTGTTGATCATCTTGAGGCAGGCAGCAATGTGAAAGTGGTCTTATCAAAGGTTTTCTTGAGATTGTTTCCTTCAGTTACCTCAAATTAATGCTAAGAAATCACATTAGTGTGGAGTTTTTTAAAATTTGCGATGACCTACTGGTCCATAGGCTGAAGTAAAGGAGAGGTGTTAGAAGGCACTACCTTAATCTCTATGAATTAAAATTCTTCAAGGTCATCTTTTAAGCCTGGAGTATGTGCAGGAGCATTATCCAAAATAAGCAAGGTGCAGAATGGCAAATTCATCTCGAGTAGTCCCCCCCCCCCCGTTGGAACAAACACTTCATTGATCTAATCTGTAAAAATGTAACTGCCCACCATGCTTTGTTGTTAGACCTTCATATGTCATTTAACATTTTCTTTTGGACTTTACTTCATAAAGACTTGTAGATTGTCTGAATGGTAAATATGCAGTAGTTTAACTTTCAAATTGGCACTTGCATTTGCACAAAACAGTACCCCAAGAGTCGTTTGTTGGCTTGTGTCCCACCAATGTCTTCTTCTCTGCTAAATAGTAATATAAGTTTGCTTTGGCCCTTTTTTCCAGAGGAAACCCGTCTTATCACAATTTAAAAACTTGCTGCGGTACATAACACTTAGAATTTACAAGTTTCTTGAATGTGCCAACAAAGTTCTTCGCTGCCTTTATGCTGCTTAGCTTGCTGCTGCTCTGTGCCTCACTATGTTGTGGATACCAGTTCTTCTCTTAAACTTTTTGAACCACACATGGCTTGTTTTAAATGCTTCTTCTTTATCTGTTGATATTCCTTGCATCTTCTTAATAAACTTGGCAAAAATTAGTTTCTTTTCACAAATTATTTTTTCATTAATAGTGTTACCTTGCATTTGTTTCTCATTGATCTGTGTGAGAAGCACTCTTTCAGTATCATCGAGGATAAGTGGATATTCTTTTGACATCCTTTGAAGTGTCTAACTCCTTAATCTTATTCTTGTCTTTGAGGATAGTACAAATCGTTGTTGTAGGCCAATTATATGTGCATACCAAGTTAACCACGCTCACACTTTGTTCTTGCTTCTTATTTGGCATCTGACTTCTGTGGTGGTTTTTTCTTCTCTTACCCCATCTTTTTCTGTCATTTTCTGTGGGCGTGAATTTGTAAGCATGCTTAAAAATTGTACTAAGAAATACACAACGTATCCGAATACAACTTTCACAAATGACTTTCAGATGGTAGCTAAATGAACGCTGATAGCCGAAATGAATGCAGGATCTTGCATGTGACATCATGAAGTCTCCATGTCATTCATTCTGAGAAACATTAAGAACTCATTAAAGGTTTTGCTCGTTATGCAAATAACGTATTATGGGAGGTGCTTGTTGAGCGAGGTTTGATTGTATTATTTTTCAATGTGTATCTGTATTTCACATATATAGATGTATAATATGATAACACTTTGAGGCTGAATTATGTATTTTAAAAGCATTCTTGGTAATTTTTTTCATGAGATCTTTGTTTTATGTTTATATCCTTTCATATATTTTTTAAGGTTATGGCTCTCTTGGTTTGATGACAAGTGTATTAGTGTGTCCCGATGGTAAAACCATTGAATCTGAAGCAGCTCATGGAACAGTCACCAGGCATTATCGAGAGCACCAAAAGGTACTTTTTTTTTAAAGTATTAGAACTTGATTATTACTTTTTTAAATCGGCATTTATTTAGAGGTTTATCTTTTTATGTAAATTTTACATATAGTATATATGTATAGTATAAAGGTAACATTCTTGTATCAAGAATTTCAAAGATTATGTTCTCGGTTACTGCAGAAATTAAAGCTAACTGTGAAAATAATTTTAGGAAAACTATTCTTTAAACTTCCAGATTTTTGAGGATATAACTGATTTATTATTTCTAATATAAATATGTATATTTAAGATAAATTAAACATAATGTAAAATTTGAACTTTGTTTGTTTTGCAATAGTCCTTTGTCTTTTTAATTTAGTTATTTCCTTTTTCTGACCTAAAATAGTAACTTAATAAATCCCTGGTACTTTTCTGTTATCATGACTGGATAAAGAAATGTTTGTATGCACGTGTGTACACACATATACATATGTACATACATGCATCCATGAACACATACATACTGGCATACATACATTTCTGTATCTGGCTCTGATCACAAAACAGTGCCAAATCTCTTTGAACTTAATTTAAAAATTAAGCCCAGGCATATGATTCTTTTATAATGCAACCTAAAAAGTTTTTTAGCAATGTTAAATTTTACCGACCAAAATCTTAGATATCCATATTGGAATCTACGCATCTCTTCTCAGCTTCTCTTTCATATTTCAGTTTTATTGTAAAATCATAGAAAGTGTAACTGTATAATTATAGAATATTGAATGAATGTCTTGTGCTAGTTTAGTTGTATATGTCTGCTTCAAAAATGCTTAGTCAATAATAAATGGCTGTGATTATACGCAAATGTTTATTCACCAGCCATATAATATTCCATGCGATCCATGTCCACCAGCTAAAATGACTGGATACTGGTAGTTTAATGTGGATTCAATTCCAGGTGCATGATTGGCTGTATGGATGTTTTCGTGGTTGTACCCATGTGTAACATTGATATGTCATTTCCTTTAAAAAATCCTCCATGAAGACATGCCTTCGTTAAACTTTTTTTAGCATGCTTTGCCATAATCAAATAGACCAGAGTTTCTTAAACTGTGGGTCGCAACCCCCATGGGAGTCGTGGGACCTGCAGCAGGGGGTCACCAAAAAGTTTAGAAATTTTGATATTTCTTTACCTTATTATAATAATTTTGCAATTACCAAATATTTTTACGTAATGTATCTGAAAATAGATAAAGATAGAAAGTACAAAAAAATAAGATAGTAAGTACAAAGAAAAAAATATAAACGTTTCAGTGCATTCTTTTTATAATCTAAACATTCATTTTACTTGCTTTGCATGTGACACTGTCATTTTGTCTGTAATTTATTTAAAATTTTCACATTGTTCTATGTCTTAAAATTAGAAATTAAAGTTAATGACCTTAAACTGCAATAGTATATTAGAGTACAAGTGAAAAAAGTGCCAGTTTCACTCATGTGTGTCGAATTTGCACAATGCTCATGGGGTCCACAAAATTTTCATAAATATGAGGTCGTATCGTATGGGGTTGTGGAAAAATCTCAGTGATAAAAAGGGGTCGCGACTAAAAAAAGTTTAAAAGCCCTGAAATAGACCAAACCAATCCAATCTTAATGTCATCCATATTAAAACTTTCACTATATGTATTTTCTAACCACACTTGCACTTAAAGCTTCGTTCAGGCGGGGGCATAAAGGGCATAAGTGGTTAAAGGCGAGCTCCGTTGCCAAGGCAACCAGTCTGTGCAACATCACAAAATCTGGTTTAGAGCTCGTGGCATAGGGTTCAAAGTTAAACTTTACGCCGAGTTTGGGATAAGCGTCGACCAATCAGAGCGAAGCTAAAACGAAGCAGCGTTCGACAGAAGATTTCGCTGTCGCAAAACAAGCAGAGCGAACGCGGGAAATCAATCGAGCAGGAGAACAGCGCAGGAAAGTTGTAGACACATCCACGCATGCACAAATTTAGCTTCTCTCATTGGCCACAGCTTACACCCCGTTCTCGCAAGTGTGAATGGAATTCCCGTATTTTATGCCCTTATGACTACGCCTCTATGCCCCTTACGCCGTCGTCTGAACACAGCCTCAAATTAGCAAAACTTACATGCTGAATAATAAGTATAGGAAGAGTGATTTTCCTAATAGAAAAGAAAGACTAGAAAGTAAGTAACATATGCCTAAGTTGTTACTGTGGATTTAGTATAGCATTTCTCTAATGTATTTAATTTTGTTTCTAGGGTAAACCAACAAGTACAAATCCTATTGCTAGTATCTTTGCATGGACACGAGGCTTAGAACATAGGGCGAAATTGGACTCGAATCAAGACTTGAAGAAGTATGATTCTTTTCTTTAAAATCTGTAATTATCTTTCGTATGTAAGATAATATGAAATTATACTTAGTATCAAGGGTTACATAAAAATTAGATTTTGGAATAATCTTGTTGCAGTATATAATTTTTCACATTATGTAGATTTTTTTTCTGCTCTATGTAGTTATATAGCATTGTTAAGACCCTCTCCCCCCACTGTAATTTTTTTAAATCTTCACATAAGATATACCAGTCTTTTTTTTTCTAACCGCTTTGCTCCCAGCCTATTATATATGATATGGCTCAGTTTCCCTCTGTATCAAATGCCATACAAGAGCAAAGTGTCACTGATTGATGGCCCACTATATCACATTTGATATCTTGGAACGGGACATTTTTTTCAAATTCTAAAAGTGCATATACAGTCAAAAGTCGTTAATCCGGACTCGTTGGGACTTCAGCGTTTCCGGATTATCGATTTTTCCAGATTATAGATCATCAGTTTAGATCGCGTAAGATGGCATGCAGAAATTCTAAAATTAAAAATATGAAACCGTAATTTATGAAATAAAGAACAATTATGATCTAAAGGGTATCAAAATTTACAAAAAAAAAAAAAAAAAAAAAGCTTAATGTTTATTTGTTTACTTTATTAAACATTTCTTTCATTGTAAGTTGTTTCGTTTTTTGTGTGATAATACATTCTCTTTAATTCTATAAACAGACATAATTTTTTGTTCGCTTACAAAGTTCCGCTGTTCAAGTCCCGTTAATTGCTGTGCCGAGAATACCGACTAACTTGTCAATCAAATTTTTTCGTTTTCACTAACCTCTCTGTCACGTTCTTCATGTCTTTATCCATTTTTTGCAGCAATTCCACTTTTTGTTTGATGGACATCAAAACATACTTTCGTTTTGTACGATCCTTTGGGAGCTCCAGAATCAAAAATTCTATTTGACATAATCGAAAGTTCAAGTTTACTTTTATAGTATTGCTCTTACAGTCTGCAAAAAATAGTAAGCCGGATTAAATTCGAAAATTAAGGAACAACGCAATCATCAACATTAACTGAAATAGATAATTAGATAATTTTAGATTATACCGTCCGTTATACATAAAACGCATACGCGAAAATGTATTCTGCTCTTGCGCACACGCAAATGCGCAGTCGTAAGAGGTCTTACGTGCACGCGTAAACGCCTATGCGCATGTGTCAATGCGGCACATGCGCAGAAAGTTTTTAGCTTTGAGGTCCGGATTATAGATCATTCCGAATTATGGGTGTCCGAATTAACGACTTTTGACTGTATTATGTGAAACTGCTGTGAAAACTTGCTGAACAGTACTCTGGACTGTTGAATATTATTTATTATTTTATTCTATGAAAATGCACGGCACTAACGACGAGTGTTCATAGATATAATAAATACTGGTATTTAAATGAAGTTTTTTTTACTTCATTATTGCACAGAAAAAATTTTAATTTAAGAATGTAATAATTATTGCCAATTAACTTTTCTTAGGTACTTATTCTGAATTTTTAATTTTTTAAGTCTTATGATTTTCTGTTTATGTTATAAGAAGTAATATTTAAGTAACACATGTGAGTCCAAATATTTAGATAGAAAAGCAGGTTTTATAGAATTATTTTGACATGTTAGGCTTAACTGCAAAATACTCTCAGACACATGGTGACTTTTATTGCTCCAAGGTCACTGCTGTACTAGAGAACTTTGTTCACTCGATGTTGGGAGCTAACAAATTCATGATAACTACAATTGCCAAAATGATAAGATAATGATTTAACATTCAGTTCCTTTAATTTAAAGTGTACTGTATTTTTTGATGAAAGCTAGTTAATAAATGTCAATATTTTAAATAGATGCAATGTTTAACGACACCAATCCAGATTATTTTGGTGTACATTTCTAATTACACCACGAAGGCATGCGGAAAGGGGGGAGAAAATGTCTTAAAACTGAATAAATTCCCTCTTTTTTGTTGTGAAATGCAAGTGATTATTTTTTTAACTGGCTGTTTAAATTAATAGTAAGTAGTCTTAGCATTTTTATTGTGAGTGTAATAAGGTTAAATCTTCCAGATTTTTTTATCCATTCTAGAAAATCATTATTTTTTATAATCAGAAATATATTCACTGTAGTTCAAATAAAATAAAATTCTACATTTTGATTGAATACTTTTATTGCAGGTTTTGTAAAACTTTGGAGAAGGCATGTGTCGACACAGTGGATTCTGGGAAGATGACAAAAGATTTAGCTGGTTGCATTCATGGAATTAAAAAGTAAAGTTTTTCACTACTATTAGAAGTTTTTTACATTATCTTTTATTTATAAAAACTGGAATCTTGTATTAAAATGTTGTTATGAAATATTATGTATATCAAATAGAATTATGATAATCCACATATAATAGGACCAAGATGTGCAGATTTTAGGTTGTCTGTTTGGGTTTTAGTTCCCTTCCTCCCTTTGTAATTTTTGCCTTAAATTTGGATTGTTTGCACTGTAAAATACACTGGTAATTTAAGAATTACGTAGTCAAGATTTACTGGACGTAAAACTGGTACACCTGGGCAAGCTAGTGGGGTCAATCATTGCCAATTTCCAGGTTGCAGAGTAAATAAGACAAGAAAAAATCTTGGAAGTCAGTTGTGCAGACTGCTCCTTTAATAGTCATTCTTTGCCAGATGGGGATGTTGTTCAATTTTATTGTCACACTGGTGATGTACTGCTGTTGCAACTGTTATACTTTTAGATATAATTATATAAAAGTAAAATAATGTTAACACAAAGGTAAACTATTGTAGGAAATTTTGAGGAAGTAAAGAACGGTTTGTAAAAATATAGCAAAGAATTTTATATAAATGTATGTCCAAAAATATTTTCCATGGAGGGAACGAAAGATGTAGTAAATTAAGCCGTATGTTTCGCGAGCACAACTGTCTCCTAGCGATGTTGCTGAATGGTATTCCTGGTTGTCCTCATTATGTGTAGTCTTGCGTTATTGTGGAAGTACAGGATACCCTTGCATTTGAGCAACATTGGCTCCTTCTGCAGCAGTGTGTACTGTACAGACTGTAATTGCTGTGAGTAAAGGGTCTTCAGTGATGGTGCAATCTGGTGTTTTCGTAGCTCATATGCACGACTTGGTGACTAATTTATCTAACACAGAGCATGGTCTCTTGTGGGTACAGAGGTGGTCTTGAGTTGCTGAGGCACCAATGCCTGGAATGCTTGGGAATGTCATACTATACCTACTTTGGTACTCATAAACACTCAACCAAGTATGAGTATGCGTTGCCAAGACAGCAGTCATTTTTCCTGTTGGCTGCCAACAATGTGTTTGGTATGTACTTCCTCAACTTGTACACTTTCTTTATGTAATGATGATGAAGTCTGATTGTTTTCTCGAAAATCTGAAAGTATTCGGGAAATTCGTGAGGCGGTTTACTGCTGTTGTCTTTCAGGACGTATCTTTTTTGCTTCAGTGTTCACCCATTGCAAGGTTCATTACAATAGCTCAGAGCTCTCAAACTGAATTTGAGCAATGACTGACAGGTGTTCTTTCATGGCATTCTCCTCAAATGCTTGACTGTTCACCAACTTGAAGCAGCTGCTAGCAGGTCCACCTTAAAGTAATACAGCAAACAACAAATGAGCTATTTTAATATCTCAATTCTCTTCTACACTGGTTGAGCTATGATTGCTTGCATACGTTTGTAACATGCCTGTATTAATGCAGGTCAGTGATCATACCAACCTTCCATTGCATTTCCTCTTCAAATGGAACATAAAAAATGACAAGCTTTTGTTCACTTTATATCAGTTGCTGTTATTCATTATATTTTTTAATATATGTAAGTTAAGTTGTGTAACGATGTCATATATCCTTGTGTGAATATTAAATGAGTAATTTAAAATATTTTATACTCTTTCCAATTAAATTTTATTTTCTTTTCTAGTGTAAAAGAATCTGATTATTTATATACTATGGACTTCTTGGATGCTATTGCTCAAGAACTTGAAAAACAATTGAAGTTATAAATATTTGTTTTTGTGTTAAAAAGCATGAATGATTTTACTTCCTTAATTCAAGGATGGGGGAAGAAATTGCACTCTAAATTTTAATATTTTGAACACCACAGGAAACTTTGATATGTATATTTGACTAGTTAGGTATGTAAGTGATATCTCATGTGAAAAAGGAAAACATCTGTATAATATGCACAAAATTCTGTCTTTATTCTATAAAACTCTGATAATAAAAATCCTTTCTCTAATATATTAAAAATGTTGAAAGATTTAAAATTTATTCCTTGTGCAACTGTGCATTTCCATTGCTGGATTCTACGAACGTAGGTTCAGAGGTGCAGCTGCTCGAGATGTGTGTCCATATGTTTTACCTATTTATATCTTTTAAACTAATTTTCATAATCAATGATATCCTTCATTGGGTAACTTATTTATTGATTAGGCTCCCATTTTTGTGTATCTATTTAATATTTATATTTTCTCATTCTCCGTGAAATGCATATGTTGTACAAATTGACATTTTCTTGCATTTAAAGAAACAGTGCTTGTATATATTGTGTACTTGTATGCAAAAGATTTTTTAACATTAATTTGATAAAAACTTAATTCAAATATGTACTGCCAAAATATATCTGTTAACTCTTTCCTAGCTGTGAGAAACAGTATTTATTAAAGAATACAAGTATTAATTTGTATGCAACATCTTATGTAAAACAGACTTGCCTTGTAATATCTTTTGACAATAGGCAATAAAGTGTATTTTTACTTTTATGACCTTTTTTTGTGTGTGTGACTACCAGCCCTTTATTGTATATAACACAGCTTGCTATAGATATGGTCAAAGAACTTGACAGCTAGACAAAATCATTTAATGCAATAATCCATACACCTTGAGACCCAAGGTTGTGTGGATTAGAATGGTTTTCTGAAACTGAGATTGTGTGCTGAATGCTCAACCAGAATGCAGATGGGCTGGATTATCAAACATATTTTAATATTTTAAATTTTATATACTAAATATTTATCAAAACATAGATAAACAATAATTATGCATAGAAAAAAATTTAAATTAATATTTATTTTCTATTTTAAATCGAAAGTTTGGTACATGCAAGACACTTTTGGTAATTACACTTTGTAATTCAAATTAATATTGACAGCTAAAGATATTATTTCATACTACAGTACAAAGTCTTTAATCCGGACATCCATAATCTGGAATGATGTATGATCCATAACTCAAAGCTACAAACTTTCTGCGTCTACGCATGCGCATAATACCTTTATGCAAGCGAATAATACCTTTACGCATGCACATAATACATTTATGCATGCACGCTTAATGTATAACAGACGGTATAAGCTAGACTAAAATTATCTAATTTTCTATTTTAGTTAATGTTGCAGATTGCATTGTTCTTTAATCTTCTAATTGGATCTGGCTTATTATTTTTTGCAGACTGTTAGAGCAATTTTATAAATAGTAAGATTCGATTATGTCAAAAAGAGTTTCCAATTCTGGAGCTGCGAAAGGATCTACAAAGCGAAAGCATGTTTTGATATCCATGAAAAAAAAAGTGGAATTGCTGCAAAAAATGGATAAAGGCATGAAGAAAGTGACAGAGAGGTTAGTGAAAACGAAAAAATTTTGATTGACAAGTTAGTCGGTATTTTCGGCACAGCAATTATAGGATTTGAACAGCGGAACTTTGTAACTGAACAAGAAATTTTGTCTGTTTATGGAATTAAAGACAAAGTATTAGCACATTAAACGAAGCAACTTAAACAGCTTACATTGACAGAAATGTTTAATAAAGTAAACAAATGAATATTAAGCTTTTTTTTTTTTTTTTTTTTTTTTTTTTTTTTTTTTTTTTTTTTTTTTTTTGTAAATTTTGATACTCTTTAGATCATACTAATTGCTCTTTATTTCATAAATTACGGTTTCATATCTTTAATTTTATAATTTCTGCATGCCATCTTTCCAGATTTAAATTGATGATCTATAATCCGGAAAAACCCCTAATCTGGAATCGCCAAAGTCCCGACGAGTCAGGATTAAAGACTTTGTACTGTACAATTTATTTAAAATATTTTTTATATGTTTAATTAATCATTAAAAGACTTCTTTTAATTTAAGCTAAAAATAAATGAACTGTACTCAGGAGCTGGTTGACTTTGTATTTAATAACAGAGATTATCATCACAAATGTATTTATTTCATTATGCATTTGTTAATCATCACATTGTAGAGGAGCGATGTGGCTCCAAAACATTTCCAATTCTCAATCACAAAGCTGTAAGATCTGTTACAGCAAGTACATAAAACAAAAAAATACTAAATTCAAATTCCATAGGTTGAGAGTATAAACTCGCTAGGATCGCCTTGTGTCGGCAACTCCTAGTCACTACTGAACAATAAATAATCAAAGATTTCGGAGGAAACTTAAGTGAAACGAAATTTAAATGATGACATATTAGCCTTTCATTTATTAAATTTTTCTTCCCTGTGTAACTTTAAATACAGATATTTGTGTATGTAAATACAAAATTTGTTAGTATAATATCCATGGAGAAAAATTATTACAAATTATATTCATCATGAATAATAGATGAGGATCAATGAATAAAATTCTTTTAATTTTCATCTGAGAGAAACTGTTGAAATAGACAGGCATGAAAGTTTTCTGCGGTTTCGAGGAATTCCGCTTTTTTGAACGTCTCTTGGGCTGTTTCTGAGATTGATGTAGAACCGTTGAGAAATCGCAATCGGCAAGTGTGGGAGAGGGGTAAATGGAGGACACGCTTTCTCCCTCTTTTCTTTGTAAAAAAACTTTACATCATGCCAGAGATCGCGAAATACGTTGTTTTACATCAAGGCAAAGTAGGTGGGGCTTATGTGGAAAGGCGGAACTACAGGGTTATCCAAATTAAACTTTCCCAACTCGGAGGCCTGTGCAGAGTGTTGTATGGGTCATAATGTGATGAAGTTTTAAAAACAGACACATCGGATCATGCGCTCGAGATTTATTACACAAAAAAAATTAGTACAAGAAGTTGCCGACAGGTGACGCTGTAACACTAGTAATGTGCATATTGCAGCTACGTGATTTGCAGAAATAAAGCTTCTGCGTAAGGTATCCAAAAGACGAGCCCTACAAAAGTGGAAGACAGGCCTTGCACAGGCAGTTGTTTCCAGCTCGCTGATGCACAATGGTGACTTTGAAAGACAAAGCTCTGTTAGTGAAACTTTTCTACCAGAATGACAAGAACTCCTGTGCTGCGATAAGAGCATTCCGTTGGCTGAAGATCTTACGCCGAGGACCAGTGACATCACGCAGTCTACGAGACATGATGAAGAAGTTCAAAAGAACCAGACAGCTGAGAATTTTACCAGGTAGAGGATGACACGTTGTGGAATCTGCACGCGTAGAAGACGTTGCTTTGGCGGTCGTGGACCCCACTAGGCAATCGCCACGTGGTGTTGTCAGTGTGCCAACTGTTTCTCGTGCTGTTGATATGCCTTATACGACCGTCTGGCATGTGATTCGTCGAATCCTCGGTTATTTTCCTTCAGGGGTGTTTGTGCTCCGGGGAAACCCCAGAATTCCGGGGATTTTGAACTTCGATACCCGGAAATTCCAGGGATCGTTGTTCAAAAGGAAGTAGGAATAATAATGAATTATTTATTTTGATCTGGGTAATTTTGTTTGCTTTGAAAGCAGAAAACGCAAGGTCAGTGTGTGTGGTGAAAACTTTTCCTTTCTTTCTCCAAAGGCAGTGATAATGCGTGAAAAGGGGGAAAAAACTTCTTTTTTTGTTCTTTCCTTATTGCGAGTTATGGCTCATTCCCCCGGTTCTTGGACATTTTCTTCTGGATTCTTTTCGGCAAGTAGGCACGGCAGAAAAAAAAGGGAGAGACTTAGTTCGACCAGATGTGCGATCACGTGACTCTGGGTTCAAAGGTCTTATCTCTCCTGGCGTGGCCCAATAAGTAGAGAAGGGGAATTTTTCGCCATATTAGCTATTTGTCATTGATCGCTTCTCAACTTTTTTTTCTCTGCTGTGTAAAATTTTCGTTTCATTTATTGATGCACGTGTAAATTTTTCGTTTCGTGTATTGAAATATTTTTTTATTTATGTACGCAAGAAAATTTCACTATGAAATTTCTCGATATAAATAGTGATATTATACAATTAGAAGAAGGTGTCCGGAATGCATTTAGGTGGAATTGGATTGAACGGAGAGATGGTAATGGGGATACCATCGGCACATGGTGCAAGAAAATAAATGTTGCTGGACAAGCATATTGTGTTTTTTGTAACTCACTGCTGAAGTATGGTGGGGAAGGATTCAAGGCTTTCACAAATCATTCTAAAACTGTGACGCACATAAAATATTCAAAGTGCATTAGACATTCAATGACTTTAAGTAATTATGCTAATTCAAAAAATACTGATGACTTACTGGAGACTGATGCTCGGCCATTGGATATAGTGACAAGAAAAGCACGCCAAGAGGTATTAATAAACTTCGTTTATCGCCGAGAATTCTCTTTCTTTCATTTCAATGTAGCTCCCAATTTAATTGAACTCTGCAAACAGTTGAGCCGCGATCAGACGGCACTAAATTCGTTGGAAATGTCCAGGACTACTGCATGTTACAAGATGAAATATGGGCTCGCAAAAACTATTAAGGAAAATATCATTAAAACTTTAAAGGAGACTCCATTTTCTCTAAATTTGGATGAAAGTACTAGCAATGCTCAAGAAAGTATACTGGCAATATTGGTGCAGTTTTATGACAACAATCAAAATGAAGTTGTAGTTCATCATTTTGCATCTCTAAAGATGGAATCTTGCAATTCAGAAGCTGTTTTTAAAGCAGTTGTTAATACTATTGAAGATAATAATATTCCATGGGCAAACTTAATTAGTGTATTAATGGACTCATGTAACACCATGCCTGAAAAAAAAAAAGGGTGTTGAAACCAGACTACAATCAAACAAAGCACCCCACTTGATATTGATGGTGACACATGTCACGCAGCTAATAACTGTGCAAAAAAATTTGCTTCATGTTTTGATAGATACTTAGAAGATTTGTTTGATGACATCTATTTTGATATGAAAAGCTGCAGTAAAAGAGAAAATTTTTTCAAAATCTGTGAATCCCTTGCCATTAAAAAACTTAAGCCCTTGAAGAGACCAGACCATATGTGAGTGTACATTTTATGTGTTTTAGAAAGAATGAAAGATCTGTGGGATGCTCTTTCACTACTTGGATAAAACTGATAAAGGGGATTAGTTTTCTTATGTTGAAACTGTATACAATAAAAGAAATTTTTCTGCAGCTCAGAAAAAAATTGTTGAAGGGGTGTATTCTTGCTTGCATTCCCAACAACTCACAAAGGATGCTTTAGCTCGGAAAAAAAGAATACTAAATGGGTTGTTTGTTATGCAAAACAAAACTTTATTGCATATGGCATTATATTCAGCAGTATTACCAGAGTTCAACACATATATTAAATTATTTGAAACAAAAAAAACAATGCTTCATTTAATACATTCCAGTATTTATAAATTGATGGCAAAATTTTTCTCTTTTTTTTTTTTTTTTTTTTTATGAAGCCAGAAAATATAGAGTGCACATCTTATAATGATTTATTAAAGGTTGATGTCACAAATCCAGAATTCCATCTACCTAGCAAAGTAATATTTACTGGTGCAGAAACTTCCACTCTCCTGAAGAAATTATCAAAAAATCATCC